TCCCTTGTTTTTTCAGCCTTCTGGCTAGTCCCCCTCTTCACTTCTGTGCCAATGGCCCAGGTCCGAGTTCAACCACAGATTGATTTCCTTTCACTTCATTTGCACAAAGACACAGAATAAATCATGAAACAGTATATAACTACTTTGTTATGAACTGCTTTTCTCCCACGGCTCCTATGCTTCTTCCTCAGTTATCAGTCTTATTTGGAGGTCCTTATTTTTGCATGCGTCTCAGGGTCTGTAGTACACTGTCTGTGATTTCGTGGTTCTCTTGGATTTGCCTGTTTTTAACTTGGCCTTTCTTGAATGGGTGCATCACTCCCATCCCGTGCCTTATCCTGCTCCTTAAGCTCTCCTCTTCTAATTGTGATTTATGATTTGCATTGTTGTAGCTCAGTCGGAGATGACAATTCCTTTGTGCCAGCTGCTGTACAAAGACAGAACAAAAAGAGAGTCCTTACCCCAAATTGGTTATGAGCTAAGTAAGTGGTCCCCTTCTTGAGCAATATATCCATTTCCTGCATCTCTCTGTTTTATTTTAATACTCTCTTCTCATTTCTTGATTTCTCTTTGGTCTTCTCCCTCTGCTTCTTCATGATCCCCTGCAATGCTCATTTAGAAAAACAAAGATATGTTTTGGCATGTTGGCACAACATTAATGGTCTTCTAGTCTTCTGGAATTTGTCTGGTGTTCCAAGATTTATCAAAAATGAACATCAAAAGGCCAGAGATTGCCTCAACCAACTCTTTTAGGACTATTAAATGCAAGTTACCTGCGTCTGCTGATCTATAAATGTTTATCCCTAGATGTTCCCTAACATTACCTTTAGTTACTAATGGAATGGAAAGTACATTTGCATCCTTATCTGATACGAGTGAATCATCTTGCTTTGTTCCAAATATGGCACAAGAATATTTAATGAACGCTCCTATTTTTTCTACATCATTAACTATTTACCACCTGTATTGGCTATTGATTAATGGGCGTTTAGCATTGATGGGATGCCTCAGTTTTTATATACCTTATACTTAACCCTGCCAGCCACATGTTGTTCAGTTACATCTTTAGCTTCCCTTATCAATTTTCTAACCTTCATAACTTCTGATATACATCTGCTGTTATATACACCCTCCTTGTTCCATTTCATTCATATTGCTGTTTTATTTCTGTTTCCTGCCTGCGCTCCAGTGTATAAATGGGTTGGACTTCTTGCCAAAGTTGTCTTCTGTCTTGATAATTGAATCATGGCTTTTTGGCCATATAATACATGATTCTTAGAGAAACCCTTGTTTTCATTTGTTTTTTGTCTATTTTTTTTTCTTCCAATCAATTTTGTTCATTGTTTCCTTCAGCTTTAGAAAGTAAGTCCTTCTGCAATGTCAAGCATATGTGTAATTACTGATTGTGACTGATCTTTCTTGGCCTGTATTGAATGTAATCGGGCCATGATCACTGGTTCTGAAGCAACCATCAGTTTTCAGTCTGTTCATTAACTCATCACTGTCTGTCAGCCTGAGGGCTAGAACAGCTTCATCTTAAGTTGGGTGCCACAGTTCTTGTGTTGGAGGTTTGTTATCTGTAATTCTTAGAGGCTGCGAGAGATGTCCGGCACATGGCTTCCAAAATAAGGTGGTTTTCCTGTCCATGCATGCAGCCTGCAGAGCAACTCATTCTTTCTGGCTTGATTCAGTGTCAACATATTGAACCACATGTATCCAAGATCCTGCACTTTTAAATTCCCAATAACTCTAAAGTTAGGTAATGGATAATATTTTTATGAGCAGACACTTTTAACATTGTGGTCATGTAAATCACTGTGTTTCAGTGCATCCTGTTTTAATTTCTGTGCTTATTACATCAATTTCTAGTATTAATATATAAACAATTGAAAAGATTCTTCTGTTCCTAGCTTTCTTGAACCTGAGAGCAGACACACGACACATTTACTCTGGAGTATTCTTGAAGTGGACACACGATATACAGCATTTACTCTGGAAAAAATGCTGTTCTACAGCGTAAAGTCACTTCTGAGAAAGCGAGAAGTAAACTTACACCAGAGTGTGTTTCTTGTGTCTGGTACGATTGTCAGTTTTGTTTTGGGCATCTCTCCCATTGTGTGGTCAGATACTTCATAAGGCTTCATTTGTGTGGAGAGCTGGTCATGTGTCCACTCCTTACTACAGAACTGATTCACTGTGGAGTCAAATCTGGAGTAAGTTACTTCTTAGTAATTGAATTGTTGGTCCACACCAAATGGTTTTGTTTATTTGCAAACACATTGCATTTGAGTTTGTTCTGCATTTTTCCTGTGGTGCCCTTCTTTTGCACTGTTAATTTAATGTCGTCTTGGATGCCCCAGTTAGTTCCCAGGTAAAAATATTAGGCCTCCTGCCTATATTTAAAGCCTTTGGGGAGTCCTTCTAGGTTCAGTCACTTACTTCTTTATAAATATACAAAGATACATTTCAGGAGGGAGGTGGTCTGTAAAGAGAAATTGCAAACCTTTACCCTGGGAGATTTCCCTTGGTTAGAATTAAACAGAAGGGTATTACTTGTTTGGAATAGCCTAAGATAGCTGAATTTGGGGGTGAGGGGAGAGGAGGTCACAGAATTATCATGATACCTGAAAAATAATCGGTTATCTTCTAGATGAAGCTTAGTGCATTTTTTTAGCATGAAAATAGTTTGCAGCCTAATCAAGTTCTTGATAAATGGACTTGACTTGTATACACCCATCTAAATCTGCATTAAGAAATGAGGCTGGTTATCAGCTCCCCTTCACAGCCATCCATTAGGAGGTATAGGCCCCAGAACTGGAAAATGTTTTTGGCTGAGTAGTCCCTGTGAGTTCAATTACTGGTTTCTAAGTTCACATGTGGGAATACGTGGGTTAGTTACTACCAATTTAATCTTGCACTTGCGTATGCCGTACATCAGAAAACATTCCACTCTGTATTCAGCAGAGATCATGGCCCCATGAAAGGGTGATTTTCGTGCAGTTCAGATGCAAACATTGCAGGACATACCTTTGAACCAAAAGTAGGACTGCTATTCTCTAACATAAAATTATCAGAGGGATACAATAAACGCCGGTGTGAAAATGTATGTACTTTTTTCTGCACTAACAAAGGAAGTTCCTTTTTGTATTCTGTTATCTCACCTTGCATGTATGCCAGCCTATTAGCTGGATGCTAGGTCATTTTCCTTGTCCTTCTCTCCATTTACCATTTCAATAACAGTGAACCTTTATTTGCAAGGGAGGATCTCATTGCTTTTGTTAATTTTGCAGTATGCCTCTTGTGATTTTTACAGAACCAATTCAAGAAACTCAGTTTTCAAACACAGGAACTCCATTTATGATGCTCATTTCTTTATTTGGATCAAGGCCGCCCAACTTTGCATGTCTGTGGGCTGCACACTGCACATTTAGGCACACAGTCCACTGCAGCCCTCCCTTGGATCCCCCACACTTTGTAGTCTGTACTGGACTCCCCCATCTCCACCACATGCTCTGTGCTGGTGACATGCACCCACTACCTTCCAGCTGGTAGCACGTGACCCCCTGTTGAATAGGCTGCATGGGAGCGAGGGGGGGGGGCATAGACCCTCCCTTCCCGCCCCCCCAGGACCTTTTCCACTGAATGGCAGCAGGAAAGGAGGTGCTGAGGTCTGTGGGGCAATGTTAACCACTCCCAGGGTTTCTGCAGCCCACAGGCTACCAACCGGACAGCCCTGATTTGGATGATCAAATTGTCATTGACATATCTGCACTACTTATCTGAGAGGCTGAGCGATGGCATTGACATCTAAATAGGGTATCTGGTGGCTTAACAGATGTATCCAAGTTTCCAGCTGGGTGTGTATATATTCAATGTTAAAATTACCATCCTGTAAAACAGCTTCTATGCCTGAGTACCCTTCCACACCAAAGGCATGGACCTTCAGCCCATTAGAGACAAAGGAAGGAGTGGCTAGAGCTTCATAGCTTTCATAGACATTAGGGCTGGAAGGGACCTCGCAAGATCATCAGGTCCAGCCCCCTTCCCCAGGGGCAGGAAGTCAGCTGGGGTCAAATGATCTCAGTAAGATAAGCATCTGAGTGCTTCTTGAAAGTGTCCAGAGTAGGTGCCTGTACCGCCTCTGGGGGAGCCTATGCAAGGCCCTGGGGACTCGGACAGTAAAAAAGTTTTTCCTTATGTCGAGCCCAAAATGGTCTTGCGGGAGTTTGTGACTGTTGGACCTAGTCTTCCCATGGGGTGCCCTGGTGAACAGGCATTCCCCCAGATCCTGATGCACACCCCTGATGCACTCACAGGCAGCCACCAGGTCCCTCCGAGCCTGCGCTGTTCCAGGCTGAAGAGTCCCATGGCTCTCAGCCTGTCCTCATAAGGCCTGTTCTCCTGTCCTCTGATCATGCGCGTGGCTCTCCTCTGCACTCTCTCGAGCTTCTCCACATCGTTTCTGAGTTGCGGAGCCCAGAATTGGGCACAGTCCTCCAGCTCTGGTCTCACCAAGCTTGTTCTATTGCTCAAGAATGTGTGAATTGAATCAGCACTAAAAGAGTAGGAAGGAAGCGATTTTGAAGCAGGTTTCGTAGAAGATCTCTTCCTTTGTAGTTGCCTACTGACAGCTTGCTCTTTCTTTCAGGAAACAGCAAGAAGTGCTGAGATGAAAGTAACAGATGTGGTTAAAAATGCATAGTCCCTCCGCTCATTCTGAGGTTGCCTACATATTATGCTCTATGTCACCAAATCCAGGTCTTAGCACGGCTGTATATTTTGGGTGTTGTGTTTCATAAATGTTGCAGAATTCTTGCATGTACTTTACTGCGTGAATAAAAGACGCAAGCAGTGAAAAAAGCAGAGGAGAACTCCTAGCAGTTCCTGCCTTCAGGTATAGCGGTATTCCCTTCACGAGTTGTGCATGGTGCTTAGTGATGACAATTCAAGGAAAATGTTATGAGGTCTTTGTTTACTATCATTATATTTCCTTAATTCAGATCTTTACATTGTTCAGTATGTTTATTATGTGCACTATTTTAACCAATTGTGTGTTCATGGCACAATCAGAGACTCCGTCTTGGAATAAATATGTTGAGTAAGTATTTCTACTGCTTTATATACACTTTCTCTGTGTATCTCTACTGTTCCATCTATGCCATTTCCATAGCTGTTCTCTCCTTTGTCTTCTGTTGTACTCTTCTCTTCCTGTTTTATGTTTCTTAATTTTTTGCATGAAAATGACTTCTGTGTGCTCTCTGTCTTGACTAACTCTTTTTGCCAGATGTTTCTCCCCTATGAAAACTCCCTTGGAAATTAAGTTAAATGCTTTTTGCTACATGCCCCCGCATATGCTACATTGGAATGAAACCCTATGTATGATTAGACCACCATTTAAAATTGACCTGCCACCCCTCAGGTTTTCAGATAAGGGGTTCAGGAGCTGGATATATGTTGAAAATATGCAACTGCAATTCAAGTTGAATGATGTCAGAAAACAGTTGTAGAATACGTTGGGTTTTAAGCATAAGAAGCCCAATCCCAAGCCCATTAACACTAGAGAGAAGCTGTCTGTCAATGTCCATGGGATTCAGTTCTACAATGCAGCGGTGGCAACCTTTAGCAAGCCATGGGCCAGGACAACCCGACTCCGGTTTGATGTGGGCCAGGTGGCTTCGGTGATATCCACACTGGAGCCAGGCAGCTGGGTGCTGTGCCCACTCCGCTGCCACTTCCCCTAGTCCTCTGCTCCCTGGCTGCCCCTGCAGTACAGCTTCTAGCTGCTCAGCAGCTTCATTGGGATTGGGCAGCTGGAAGCTTTGTCTTTGCTTCTCTCCGTTTACACCCCATTACCTCCCATATGTGGCACAGCTCTGTATTGGCTAGAAGCTGGCCCATGCCACAGGCAGGGAGTGGGGACTGCAGGAAGTGGTGGCCATGTGGATGCAGCTTCCAGCTGCCCAGCCCGAGCATGGACACAGGCAGAGGACTCCAACTTTGCAGCCCAGCTCTAATGGCTCCGTAGGCTTTATGTTGCTGACCCCTTCTGTAATGCGATAGCATAGAGGACAGCCCCATAATTTCTAGGCCAGTTTTATAAACGGGTACCAAAGGCCTTCAGAATTATTTATGGGGTTTCCATCTTTTTGGATAATTGGAGGCTTCAGGAAACTGGCTGAGCTTGAACTAACAGTTTTCTTTTGGGGGGAGGGGAAGACTGGCTTTAAAAGAAAAGTCCGGTCAGTTTGTAGTTCTGTAAGCAATCAGGGCTCGTGGACAGAGGTGTTCTCTTTATTAGACCAACAAGATTTTTGCAAAAACATTTCTTTAATTGCAAGCTTCCGGGCACAAAAACCCTTCATCAGGCATCAGAGAAAAGATTGTAAAAGTTCCCCTGGGTAGAAATGAAAGTTCATATTTCATAGGATTTCACAGAGGAGTCAATAGATGGGCAGTCATAGTTCTGTA